GTCTCCAGATCTCAACCCCATAGAAAATCTTTGGAGGGAGTTGAAAGTCCGTGTTGCCCAGCGACAGCCCCAAAGCATCACTACTCTAGAGGAGATCTGCATGGAGGAATGGGCCAACATACCAGCAACAGTGTGTGCCAACCTTGTGAAGACTTACAGGAAACGTTTGACCTCTGTCATTGCCAACAAAGGATATATAACAAAGTATTGAGATGAACTTTTGATATTGACCAAATACTTATTTTCCACCATAATTTGCAAATAAATTCTTTCCAAATCAGCCAATGTGATTGTCTGGATTTTTTTTCTCATTTTGTCTCTCATAGTTGAGGTCTACCTATGATGCCAATTACAGGCCTCTCTCATCTTTTAAAGTGGGAGAACTTGCACAATTGGTGGCTGACTAAATACTTTTTTGCCCCACTGTATGTGACCCTCAAAACACCTTCTTGTAGCCACTTGTGGATTTAATAACAAATCTTAAGACATTTGTTTGCTGTTCAGTTTGGCTCAGTACACTTGGAGCTGGTATTTTCTATCTTCTCGTTTTTTCTTGATTTTATTTTTGACAAATGTGAAAAAGTTTTTTTTCCAGTTCTTTTTAAGGACTGAGATCTCTATATTGTTTTGCAATAAGATTGTCATGTTCAAGATCTGTAACATGTAATTGTGCTTTATAAATTGTTCATACACTTGCTTTATGTTTTGGATAAAAAAAATGTAAATGTTTATGCTAAAAAAATCACACAGCTTACCAATGCCAATGGCACCGAGGAGTTTCACAACTATGGCTGGGGCATGACAGGGGACAAACAGTGGTTCTATTAGGTACCGTCCAAATGCCAGACAGACCACGGCGATATTTGCTGGCCTAGAAAAACACACCAGATGATATGATAAAAGAACTGTCTATATCATCATAATAACCCATTTTCAACTGTCACTTTTCTTGTGCAGGCTAAAAGAAATGATCTGATTGGCTGTAATGGGTTGATTTCAGGATCCTAGCACAGGCAAAACAGTGGAACTTATGATGGCGAAAGCATCCTCCCTTTCCATCATCCATGCTGTACTTAGGGCCCAGTCACACCATTGCTTTGCAGTAATGCAACGAAGGGCTGCTTTTGGGCGACACGATATATCATTGTGTTAAAGCAACCCACTCAAATGAGAACATGAATTGAAAGAAAGGGAGCATCTGATTGTTAGTTATTTCAAAAACAATTCTGCCTTTTAACACCGTAAAGCAGCATTAAACCCAAAAGCAAACATTTATTATATTGCAGCTTACTAATTCTTGTATGTGATGGCTGCATTAGTCTCCTTTTCTAGGCTTTCTTTCCTTTATTTTCACTTGGTGATCCAGCCAGTAAGTCTGTTGTTTTTTAACAAACCAAGCTGTCCTGCAGATGTAGCAGTTGGGAGGTTCAGACAAACCATTTACCACTGACAGGGTGCTTACAATGATCAGATTTTATTTAATTATGTAAAACCTTTATCCAAAAAGAACAAAACTGTTGCTGTAACTTCTTAAAAAGTGTGAGGTGGAGTTTGGCTTCAATTGGTTAGCGCATCTAAATATGCTAGTAGATGCTGCACTCCCCTCCCCCCTGACTAACAATGCTGCTGTCGAAAAGGTCCTTCCTGTGCTCCTTCATCCAGAGTGGGGACACTCTAATACAGGAGGTATGTTACTGGTTAGACCTCCAGGTGAAAACCAAGGGGGTAAAGCCTAAGGCTAGGTTCACATATGTGTGGGTGGTGTGTCGCTGCAGATCTGCACAAAAATCCGTGGGCACCACCCACACAGAAGAATGCTTACCTGCGGGCGGGTGCCATTAATTCTAATGGCACACTGCCCGCACTGGAAATCGCAAAGGCTGTGTTTTCCAAAGAAGTGCAGGGACTTCTTCCCTGCATGTCCCGGGGCACGGGAGTCCATTCAAATGAATGGGCTCTTGTGCCTGCTCAAAACGTGGCCTGCAGGGCCGCATATATGTGAACCAGGGCTAAAAAAAGAAAACTAATACAGCTACCACATCTATTGATTGGTATGCTGCAATATATTACATTTGCTGCCATTTACCTCTAAACTCCTAGAACGCTTAGTCTACAATAGCCTGAGCTCCCACCTCACCGACAACAACCTTCCTGACCCTTTACAGTCTGGCTTTCGCTCACTACACTCCACTGAAACTGGCCTACTAAAACTCACTAATGATTTACTAACTGCTAAAACCAATGGCCACTACTCCATACTCTTGACCTCTCTGCGGCTTTTGATATGGTGGACCATCCCCTCCTCCTCAAAAAACTCCACTCTCTTGGTCTTAGAGACGCTGCTCTCTTCTGGTTCTCCTCCTACCTATCGCAGCACTCCTTCAGCATTACCTATAATGCTGCCTCCTCCTCTTCACTCCCTCTCTCTGTAGGGGTCCCTCAAGGTTCTGTCCTCGGACCCCTTCTCTTCTCCATCTACACCTCCTCCCTTGGTCACTTGATAAACTCCCATGGCTTTAAGTACCATCTCTATGCTGATGACACACAAATCTATCTTTCTATTCCTCACCTCACCCCCCTTCAGTCTCCTCTTGCATTACTAACCTACTAAGTGACAATCGGTATGAATATCACTCCACTCCCTCAAACTCAATCTTTCCATAACTGAGCTCTTAGTATTCCCCCAGCCCGTGCCCCCTCCCCTGACTTCTCCATCAAGATCAATAATACAACCATCAGTTCCTCCTCTCATGCCAGGGTACTAGGTGTACTCCTAGTCTCCCATCTGTCCTTTCAGCCCCAAATCCAATCCCTGTCCAAATCTTGTAGACTTCACCTCCGCAACATCTCCAAGATACGACCGTTCTTAACCTCGGAAACCACTAAGCAACTTATTCACTCCCTGGTTATCTCTCGCCTTGATTATTGTAACTCCCTCCTCATTGGCCTACCTCATCGCAGGCTATCCCCTCTGCAGTCTATCATGAATGCTTCTGCCAGACTCATCCACCTTACTAACCATTCCATATCTGCCACCCCTCTCTGCCAATCTCTCCACTGGCTTCCCATTGCCAAACGGATAAAATTCAAAACATTAACAATAACATATAAAGCCATTTATAACTCTGCCCCAAATTACATTACCAATCTTGTCTCCAAATACCACCCAAACCGCACTCTCCGCTCCTCGCATGACCTCCTACTCTCTAGCTCCCTTGTCTCCTCCTCCCATGCTCATCTCCAGGACTTCTCCGGAGCTTCCCCCATCCTCTGGAACTCTCTACCCCAATTTATCAGACTATCGCCTACTCTGCTCACTTTTAGGCGATCTCTGAAAACCTATCTCTTCAGGAAAGCCTATCCTGCCGTCAGCTAATACTGGAATCTTCCACTCTTCCAACCAGTCCATCCCCCACAGTTACTACCTTTTGTACCACTAGCCCCTCCCTCCTAGATTGTAAGCTCCAAGGATCAGGGCCCTCTTGTATTGAACTGTATTGTTGCTGTATTGTCTCCCGTTATATTCTAAAACGCTAAGCAAACTGTTGGCGCTATATAAACCCTGTATAATAATAATTTTTGGTTTTGTATTTCATACTGCTTTAACATGGGGTGCAACAAGGATGATTGATTATTGTGATTACTGTAAATCTCTAATTCAAATTTAGAGAGTATGGAGAACATAGTTCCTTCATTTTATGAATGTTTATAAGTCAGATAGCCTAGTCAACAACCTTGTTGAACAGCTACTGAAACAAATCTAATCACAAGATACGCCCCTTAGACCAGTGTTTCTCATCCTTTTTTCAGTCAAGGCACCCTTTAAAATTATGGACAGTCCCGAGGCGACCTTTAAAATTATGGACAGCCATGAGGCACCCCATTCTAAAATGGGGTGCCTCAAGACTGTCTATTATTTTCAAAGAGCACCCCATTCTAAAATGTGAAAAACTATTAGAATGGTTTTATATAACACATCCACACATGTATGACATCCAACATTAGAGGTGATTTATTCTTCCAAAGCAAATACACTTTTGCACATTGGTACTGAGTGTTTCTCTTCTCCCTCAGTTTTTCTCCATCACTGAGCTAATGTGACCCCAGCACTGATGGAGAGGGGCAGGGGAGGGTCAAACTAGGATTCTGTGCAGACAGATGACATCCTCCTTATCAACTGATGATGTCATTGGTTGTCAGGATTTCGATGGCTAGAAGGTCGTAATGGTGCACAATGAAAACCTGTGACTTTGTATAACTAACAGGCAGGCTTGTTCCACCCGCTGCCTTGTATAACACGTTTTGGACAATTTTTAGACATTTTGCCAAGTCACCCCTGAAGAAAGCTCAAGGCACCCCAGTGTGCCTGGGAACCCTGAATGAGAAAGGTTGCCTTAGACAATTGATTGATTTCAACACATATTTAGGTGTCTAAGAAGACCGACCAAATGTGTTGAGCTAAGATAAGCAGTCACCCGTATTAAATTATCAAAACAGGAAGGACCGACTGCATACACTTCTATATAATAGGAGCAATTATACTGTATATTGTAATTGAAATAAAACTCAAGTCCAAAAAATAAAAAAATCTTTGAATACAGGTTAGAAGCTGTTGGCATTAGATTCGCCTTTTCTTCCTGCCCTGGAGACATTGCATGAAGGGAGAGGGAAGTTCCCCATAGAACAGAGAACCCCACCTCAGACAATTGCCCTTTGGGACATTTCCCCTTCCCGTTTGTTCTAGTGACAACTGTTATCAGTGGATTTTACCCTCACGGTTTTGCACAGAATGGTCCAGTTATTTACAATCATGCAATCTCATTTTAGAAATGCAAATTGCCTGGTTGTCATGTTGACCCTCACCCTTCAAAGGACCTACATACTGACTTTACTCCAAATTTCCTAAGCTTCATATTTGTTTTAGGTCAGGGACTCAAAAAGGATGAGGAATGGCATGACAGTCAGGCATCCAGCCTTTTCATATTTATGACAGTGACAGGTTACCGTATCATAACGAATTCAGCCCACAGCCTCAAGAAAGCAGGGACGGGCCCCAGAGTCTCCAGCAAGTAGATGTAGTGGCCACCAGATTTCTTTATAGATGTGCCAAGGTCAGCATATGACAGGGCACCTGGATCACACAAGAGAGACAGATATTCCAGTTATACATTGGAGGATATTTACAAAGACTCACCCATCAGCAGTCTACAAGTTCTCTTATGCAAAATACCTCAATATACATGTAGCACTACCCCCTTAGGAGTTGCTAGAATATTTAGGTCCCGCTATAGTCCTGCACAGCCAGGAATCACACATCTATACAAAAGCTTGCATCCAGAGTCAGAGATCAGTCCTTGAGCTTTAGTTCTGTTGTTTTATTTAGGGGGTTTGAACTGGGATAGGGTTAGGGGTGTACAGGATGCCCAAGGGAACTGATGAACAGAGGACAACTTCCTGGAACTATTTACAAGCCTTCACTGCAGCACAGTCCTTTTTGGAGAGCTAGCCAGCATCTCCTTAATGTACCACCCCAGACCCTAGATGAACTCTTCTTCTTCAGCCAGCAATCTGGAGGTATCCCTGAACAGGGGATCTGGAGCCTGTTACTTTAAAAGTGGATAGTCCCAAATAGGTAGCTAATATGGTTTCCCACCATTGTGGTCCTTCCCCTATCCGCCCAGGGGATGCAGGGGTACTCACTCAGATCCTCTCCTTTACCACTGATGGGTTGGAGGCTGCTACCAGGCCTTTTACCTGGGCTGCTCCTTCCCTGCTGTACAGGTGGTCCTCGCTCTGGGAGCCAGTGAAACTCTGAGCTTTCATCCTTTCCAGCTCCAGGCCAGCAGGTAGGCCCAATCTCACTGGGACTCCTTGCAGCCCCCTGCCTTCAGCCTCACATCTTCCTCACTGTCTTCTACCTGAACTCTCCCACAACTGAGAAGGCTCCAACACTTTTAAGGGTGTCCCAGCCCCTTGTCAAACCTTCAGTTGGGGATTGGCTAGGATCCCTCAAGAGTATAAGCCAGCCACTCCTCAGATCCACCCACTGCCTCTAGGCCTTCCTCCAAAGCCCTAGAGCAGAGCCTCTCAGCTTCTGACCAAAATTTGACCTTCTGGCTATTACACCAAGGCTGGTACTCAGCCTTCCTCTCTATCAAACAGGACTCTAGCTTCCCCTAGCTAACTAGGAGGGCGCTACATACATACAGCTAAATCACCTACATAGACTTGTGTCTACACTTACTGTGGGTTAGTCTAATGTACATTCACTAGAGAAAAGCACAAAACATTAACAATATCCTTATTCTTCAAAATAATCCCTACACATCCACTACTTAAAATGCAGCTTCAAAGGGTAGATGGATTCCAGGAAGTAAATGCTACCTGAATCATCTGCCCTTACTCAAGATGGCCAGATTTTTCACACAGCAGCCGCGATCATCCTCTGCTTGGGTCCCCCGCCCTTGGCTCTCTCCTCACTGGATGTGATTGACAGCAGCAGAAGGCAATAACTCCCACAGCTGCTTCTCTGTCCAATGAGGAGGGAGAGAGCCAAGAGAGCTGCTGCTCTTGTGCACATTGCTGGGTCAAGATTGGGCTCAGGTAAGTATGGGGGGGGGGGGGGAGCTGCATGCCAAAGTTTTTTCTCTTAATGGACAGAATGTACCTTCAGAGCCACTTTAAACCAATTCTTAGATGTTGTGGCCGCATTAGTTTTCTTTTTAGGCTTTCTTTCTTCTATTTTCATCTGGTGATCCAGCCAGTAAGTCTATTGTTTTTCAAAAGAACAAGCTTTCCAGAAGAATGTATCAGTTACAGAGATGAGACAAACCACTTAAAACGGAGTAGGTGCTGCTGGCTACCTGACCACCGAAAGAAAGCTCTATTCGTGGGAAAAAAAGGACGTACATTTCATTTGGGTGCAGCATTGCATGACTGCGCTATTGTTAGTTAAAATTACGCAGTGCCAAAACACAAAAAATTGCCTGGTCAGTAAGGGGGGTAAATCCTCTGGACTGGAGGGTAAGTGGTAAAATTGTTAGAAGGAGACGCAATGACTTTGCACATAATTCTCGTTCCTAAAAGGACTTTAGAAGTTATGTTTACATGCTGGTATGGGTCACAAATTGCATTCAATGTGTCATGTAATATCGCTATTGCTATGAAAGAAATCTGTTCTTCTGCATATAAAACACTTTAGAATTGTTTTCCCACTCAGTACAGTCTGGATAGTTGAGGTAAGTTGTTAACTTTCTAGACAGAAGTGCGTGTATGGAGTGTCAGTGAGCGCTTTGGGTACGTAGAAAAGTGGAAGCTGCTGGCACTAAAGGACCGCCCTTGGTATCCTTATTGGTAAATGAAAATAAAAAAAGGTGCAGTGCTAAAATATGAGGAAGTCTAAATAAAAATCAAATAAGACATGCATATAAATAAATAATGATGCAATGAATGAAGCAGAATTAGATGCTTTTCTAATACTGCTTCATTTATTGCAGCATTATGTATTTATTTATATGTACATGTCTTATTTGATTTGTATTTCGACTTACTCATATTTTAGCGCTGCACCTTTTTTATTATCTAAACAGATGTGTTTGTAGAATCGGATTAGCAAACAGGAATAGGCAGTTATCATTTCATGCCTTAGGACATTCACATTACCCAACAGAGCTGATTAAAAAATGTTAACTATTCGCAAGACTTTCCTTTCTTTTTTTTGTTGCGTGTGAATGGCTCTCTTTCATCAGATTTGTAACATAAATCTGTCCTTAAAAATGCTGATGGTGTAGGATATGCAGCTGCTATATAGGGAGGGCATCAAGACGTAGATGGGTGTCTTGCTCTTTATATCTATCTTGCTCTTTGCATTTATTACACACGTCCTTGCCTTTTATAATTATTAATTAAAAAAATTTAATAGTATGAATAGTTGACATTCATATGTTTTCTACTGCGGAGTATTATTTATTTTATTTATTTATTCCTCCTGTTAAAATTCCAGTTCTCTTACAGGGTATATGGGGTAAGTATTTGAAATAGCTGGCTGCTCATACTCCCTATTTGCTGTGTTGGATATTCTTGTTGTTCATCTGGAAGGAAATGATTTAGGTGGATTCAAAATCTCAGACCTTCTAAATTAAATGGTATCTGTTCTGGTCACATATAAGTGTTCTCTAGGCCTGGGCTTCAGTTCACCATAAAGTTACCATAACAGGTGAATTGACTGATATGCTGACTTACTGTATATTCATTATTGGTGAATTCACTTTTTCTATATTGTAAACTGGAGAGTATCATCAGAGGTCTACTGTAGCAGTGTTTGGCATTGCTTCCAATTGTCCCTCCTTTGAGACCAAATTCCTCTGTCCCTCATGTAGCTTCAGTTGTCCCTCTTTTTGGTCTGATGTGTACATCTCTATATGAAAGGTACTATTTTACTGTCAAAAGTGTTATGCTGCACTAAACCTTTTATCCAGCCTCTAGATTACTGCATTTGTTATTTAGAAAAGCCAATATATAGTAAATGTAGAGGTAAGAAAAAGCACTTGTGTTGTTTAGCCAATCATTTTCTGCATGTTAGATCTTTGAGGTCCATGTAACTGGGGACATGTCCTTTTGATACTTACTGTGTGTGAAAGGATGGGAAATGGGGAAGGTTGTTTTTGATACACTTTCTCAGATACTGGTAAGGGCATTTTCAATGCTGGATTGTAGAGTGATTGTTTAGGCTGCAGTTGTGGGGTGGGGTCAGGTTGGTAACCTGGCTTTTGGGTAATGTCGCCCACTTTTTGGGTGGACAGTGGTTGGTAAACTGTTATTTGGTTGGTATAAGATATTGCTGCTTGAGTCTTATTGACTAAGCATGTTGGTCTCTTACTGGTTAATAGCAGTTCTGTTTGGTATTACATTTTAAAGTTCAATTCATAATTAAAATTGATTTAAACCCAATAAACTTTTCCACAATCCTTGTTGTGTGATTATTTTATTACTTAGGTATTTTCTTATGGTATGCTAGGTGTAAATGGGATGTACAATCTCATTATTATTCTCATGGACTTGTGCCAAGATCAATTATAATAAAATTGAGTTGGACTGAACCAGTGGCTGCTGTGTCTAAAGTGGATCCTCAGTACCCTTCCTGCTGTGAAGTGAGAATGTACCATGTTAAGCTAAGCTAGACCGTGCATCTCATGAGGTACCCTCTTGGAGAAGTAGGATTCTGATGTAACCAATTGTATGCAATCCTGGTGGGACTAGGGGATGGTGATGGAAGAGCCTGTCCTGTAACCACATGCAGGTCATCAGGCCTGATGCGATGAGTGTCTCCCAGTCAGAGGAACAATGTGACCAGGCGTATAGTGAGTGTGTGCAAAGGGCACACTTTGCTTAAGCACACTGTTTGTGCAGGTGTGAAGGTGGAGAAGAGTACTTAGAGGGCTGGGGACTCTGAGAATGGCTGATGTTAGGCCTGAACGAGACCTGATACAGGTGGTCCCTGGAGGAGTACATGTGGGTGATTAAGTCATGTTCTCGGACCCACCTACATCTGTCTGCTTTTAAGCCAGGTACATCTTCCTTCCTTTGTTTGATCAGTTCATGACAATTGTCTGTCATTGTCTCACAATTATATTCCCTGCGTTGTCACCCTGTCACACACCAATGCTCACACACCTTGCATAGATGTTGGGTAGATGCACTGTAGTGCAGTAATCACAAAGAGGCCCGGAGTGCAGTAACCAATGTTTTTGAAGAACTTGCAAACAGTACAACAGCCCATCGGGGAGCTCACCTGACCAGGAACTTAAAATCAGTGTAGCGGAGAGTCAGCGGTAATAGGTCCGAGTCAAAGATAGCTCTTGCCAGGGGAGGAGGAATATGGTCTGGCCAATCTAACCCAAAAGGGAGCCTGAGGACCTGAAGATGTAGACTCTGCACTGTCAAATTGCTCCCTACTGCTAGAGCTGTCCCTGACAGGCAGGTACACTTTCCCTACACTAGCCACTCCGCAAATGCACGTCATAACCAGGAGACAGGGATTTTAAAAAGGCTCTGTGTGACCCAAGATACCAGGGTCACCTGGATGGAGCATAGCCAACCAGAACTCTGCTCCCAAGGACTAAGGGAACCATA